AGCACGGGCGGCAGTGGCAGTAGCAGTCACCAGCACAAGTGGCAGTGGCTGTAGCAGACAGAGACAGGGGCGACAGTGGCTGTAGCAGGTAGTAACAGGGGCGACACTGGCTATAGCAGGCAGTCACAAGGGCGAAAGTGGTTGTAGGAGCAGTGACAGGGGCGGTATTGGCTGTAGCGGCAGGGGCAGGTGTGGCAGAGGCTGAAGCAGGCGCACAGCGGTAACAACGGCAGTTGTAGCTGTAGCTAACAATGGCACAGCGGCTGGTCGCGATCTGGCGGCTGCGCTAGCTATGGCCGGTCGAGCAACTGCAGCTGCGCTGCTGATCGCGATCTGGCAGCGTGGGCTCGCACGACGGACTAGCGTGAAAGCAGCGGCCTGAAGAGGCAAGCGGCGGGCGAACGGGGTGGGCGGCGGCCTCATGCAATTGGCTAAAAAAAAAGAACGAGCCATCAGGGTAGAGGGGGGAGCTGTCTGCGGCGACAATCGCGACTTCGTGGACAGCAAGGGCATAGTCCACGACTTGACCTGCCCCTACACACCAGCTGCTAACCAGGAAGAAGCCCGACTTGTTGCTGGCACGGGTGTGGGGCTGCATGGCGCAGTTTCTGGTTCCCGAGCAGCAGCACGGTGGGAAGCTGAAGCCGAAGGCCCGGTGGGGCCTTCACCTCGGTGTGTCGGAGGAGAGCAAGGGCTGGGAGCTCCTCGACATCGCCGACAATCGAGTGGCCACCATGTCGGACGTGGTGTTCTACGAGACCATGTCGCTGGAGGTGTGGAAGTCGGAGCACGGGCCGGCATCAGGACGGACGCAGGTCAACCCGCCGACGGACACCTCGACGGCGACGCTCCCTCTGCTCGCCGAGGTCGGTGGGCTTGCTGATGAGGACGCCTCGGGCGTCCCTCCTTCCTCCCCTCCTCCTGCCCTTCCTGTCCCACCCATTGTCGTCGACCTGCGTGGGCTGACTACGGCGTCGGCCTCAAGCAATGAGGGGAGCAGTGGGGCGTCGCCTGTGGCGCGGACCGAGTGCATCGCCGGTGGCCAACATGATGCCAAGCCAGTCGGCGTGGGTGTGAAGTTGCAGCTGGCAGGGGAGCAGGCCGAGAAGGTGCAGCTGACTTTGGTTGAGCCGACAAAGGGAACATCAGCAGGCAAGCAGCCGACAGGGGAGCATGCAGCAGTGAAGCCGACCACGAAGTAGTCGGCAACCGGGCAGTCGGGAGGGGAGCCGAGGACAGGGAAGAAGTCGGCAGGGTCGGCGACTGTGGTGCAGCAGGATGCCGAAGGCAGCGACGCCGGGGATGACGAAGGGGAGCAGTCGGACGCCGAGGAGTCCACCGACACTGATGTGGTGGAGGTCCAGCCATAGCCACGCAACGCAAATCTGGGGGTTCGCGCTTCTCAATCGAAAACCAGTCGCAACTCATTTCTAGTGGTAAACCAAACGCAAACCAACAGTAAACGACTCTGATTGGCAATTGGGCATCTACACCTACCACAATGGGCTGATTTCTTGCGTGTAGCAACCCACACGTACCTCAATCTGGAGGCTCGCGGGGGTCATTTCGTGCCTCGGCTGTGGTGCTCGTTGCTTCGGCAGAGGCTAGGAAAACTACGAGACATCGACACCAATCAGAATGGAGCGCATCCTAGCATCACGGAACCCTTCAAATGAGCTGCACAGTGTGAAAATGCACCTCATTTGTGTAACACGTTGTTGGCAAACTGAGGCTCATGTGTTGATTATAATATAGACTGTAAATATACTTTATTGAAAAAAATTTACGAGAGTACCTTTCCGTCACCCGTTAATAAGTAGAAAATAAAATCCAAGTCCGAAGCTCATGATTCGTATGATTATATTACACTTTTGTATGCGAAGCAATTGTAGTCTTGATTTCCGAGTTCAAATATGGTTTTTGTGGATGAAGACACGCACAATCCTGTGTATAATTTCCTTGTACAAAGTGATAATTCAACTGTATTTGTAACTACGGAAGTAGCACGGAGAGAGGTACAAAATTGTCGTTTCTTATGTGTTACAGCCTGTCGCGTTCATTGAAACAAGCGGAATAACACACTGTTGCATTCTCATACCGTTTTTGCTCTAAACCTATCTCGACCATATTGAAAACTACGCTACCATAGTAAATAGTGACGCATCCAATTGCACCGCATCTAAACAAGCGATTAGGACGCCGGCCTTGGTTTTCGTAACTGTGGCTCGTCCCCGACACACCCAGGGTGGTTGGCATGATGCGAGGTGCCAAAGTTGCACGTGGTTGGGTGACAACCCTGGAACACGACAACAGACCTGAACGTTGTCGTGCTCCCATTCGTCCAGGTGCGTCCAGGGTGGCTGGCATGACGTGACGCGAAGCACAGAAGTTCCTCGTGAAATGGCCCCACCAGTAACATGAAGGCAAAGCTAGAAATCGAACCCCAACCCATAGGAACTTATTTGATTTGTAGCTTTACCGTTTCAAGAGATAGCACAGTGGTTACGGTGAGGTGCGATGCTGCTCGTTTTTGTGTGGTCAGCTTTGTTTTGTTAACGATTGGGAAAGGTGCTTGGTAAATAGTCAGAAAAGGACGCCTTTTCCCTTCTAACGCTTCCCACATCACACCTCCATCGTGAGGGGTTGTTGTGCTCGAACAGTCATTTCTCACATCTGCGACTAGATACGTTTATTTTTTTGCCCTGAGATACTGCACCTCCTACCTTTTCCTGCGCGTACTGCACCCGAGAAGTCAACACAGACCGCCACCGTTGACTGTTCTGCGCCTATCGGACCAAGGGAACAGTGGTATGTCTCAGAGTTCGGGTAGGCATATGCATATTTCTCGTGGTTTTTTTTGCAAGTTTTCTCGAAGTAATGATTATGTGCCATTTTTAGGCTAAACGTTGTAGTTGGTCGCCGATTTTCAGTTTACCCATCTGGGTGATGTGTGGAATGGTGTTTATGCTTTCCAAGGTGTCTGGATTCATTTTTTTTTAAGGTGTGTTTCCACAATAATGAAGCTGCCTGTTTGTTTTAATCCGTGATTTAGGGTGATGCACTATTTGCCATGAATTTCTGACTGATTTTCCACCCGGTTGTGTAATCTTTTTCTCCAGGTGTGCTCCTGTTACAGCGCGTCTGTTCGCCACCCCACTGTATGCACATGTATGGCATGTGCAGATCGTTTATGTGCATTTGTTATATAGTTTAGTGGGTCTTGTTGTTGGTTTTTGGAGCAATTTCAGTTTGCAATCAACATGACTGAAAATCTGTTTACATTGTCAGCATCATCTGGTCCTTAGATGTAAAATTCCTAGCATTGTACCGTGCTTCACGGTTTTGTTGCAGGTGTGCGAGACGGTGTTGGAACTGAAGGCTGTCGCATAGGGTGTTGTAGCTGTAGGTTCTGTGGAGATTGTGACTTCGTGATAAGCTTTGTATCTGTTAATACTGTCAGCATCATACCATATCAGAGGATTTTGCGAGTCCACACTTGGCAGAATGGAGGAACTCCATTATGGGTGTGACGTGAAGGACTGCATTGTGGGTTTTGCTACTCCTTTGGCTAAGGCATGGCATATGAGTCGAGGGCAGCACAAGTACAAACCAGCAGATCCAACATCCGAGTTGCGTGGAGAAAGCAGCCAGGGTGCTGTGGAGGCGCTCCAAGCTACTTCAGATCGCATTCGCACGAATTCGAACAAACGTCTACGCACGGATAGGGTGGCAGAGTGCAGTTGCAGGGCCGAGAACGCTGACCTTGCTGAGATGAACAAGGGTCAAATAGGGTATGATTTCTACCCAGGGGGGGATGCGTCCCTCGTTGATGTTGACTCTCGCGTGTATCGTTTTGTAAGGACAGCTGCTGGAGGTTCCGGGCTCTCGAGGGTGGATATCAAGGAGTTGATATCAATCCTCATGAGTAATCCGGGGCGTCTAACGATCAAGTCACTCACCGCGTTTGACAGCTACGAGAAGTTACAACCAGCCGATGCTAATTTGCATCCCTTCGAACAGATTAATCTCGTGAAGGAGGGGGATTTGCAGCTAGTGATCCTGTGGCGTCATTTTGTGTTGTCATGCGTGAGAAGCCTTTACAAGAACGTGGCAAACGCTGCCGATTTTGTCATGAAACCACCCAAGGAGATTCCTAATGCAGCGCGGATTTACAAAGGTCCCGAGATGGGGAGCTGGTGGCATGAAGTTCTTAAAGAGTTGCCTCAAGGAGCATCTGTAGCTGCTGTGATAATCTACTCAGACGAGACGACACTCACCATCGATGGAGGCCTCAAGGGATGGCCTGTGTACATTTCACTCACCAACATCGCTGCGGGGAATCGTTGGAGGACACACAGCCATCGACTCGTCGCTTTGCTACTTGACGACGACGGCAGCTTCTTCTCGAAGGCGGATCAACCACGTTGATGGCTGGAAGTGTTCCAAGAGGCCCTAAATCTCATCATGGAGGAGTTAAAGGTTGGACAATACAAGTAAGTGTGCTGCTCGTGCGAATTTACTATCTCTTGTGATAATGTATATCCATGCTGTCCTCTCCTGTGTACACGCATCTGTGACATTTGACTAACGTGGAGGTCCTTGTTCGTTGTGTGCAGCGGCATGTTTCTCACACACCCATACAACATTCGTCGTAAGGTCTATCCGATGACATACTCGTACGTCGGTGACTACCCAGAGCAGTGCAAAGTCACCGGAACCAAGTCGGGGATCAAGACAAAGTACCCTTGTCCTAGATGCCTAGTACCAAAGGAGGAGCTCAACAACATGGACTACCCATTGGTGTTTCGGAACGAGGAACGTCAAAAGGAGCTCGTTGGCAAGATGGAATGCGCGCACACGAAGGACGCACGAGAGGATATCGAGCGAGATCACAGCACCCACTGCATCCATGTAAGCATCATACAGTTTGCGAGAATTGTTGTTGCTGTCCTTCTATTGTGATGTTGGTATGGAAGTTTTGGTCGCTATCTAACACGCCCCTACTGCTTGTCTTTATGCAGAGCGCCCTGTGGGGTCAGCGATTTGCCGATAAGGATTTTGCTCATCCTTATCAGCAAATCACATCCGACTTCATGCACATGTCGCTCCTAGGTGTGTACAAGCACAACCTGGAAGGTCTCAAGTCGAAGCTCAGTACAGAGATACTGCACAAGCTCGATGCTTCGCTGCGCACCATCACCCAGTACAGATGACAGTCGTTCTTCCGACTTCCGGTGCACACAGATGGTTATAAAACGGGCATGCCACTTTCAAGGCTTTTCATCATCAAGCGGTCATGCAAGTGTTGCCATTGCTCCTGCTCATGGCCAATGTTGATGGCAAGACGATCCGTGCAGTGGAGTTGTTTTGCCATTGGCACTCCGAGGCGTGGCATTGTTGTGCCCACCCACTTTAGTGGCACGGTCATCGCACTCCCATTCAGCCTACAAGCCTGCTCAGCTTCTGGAATTTTGAGGGGAGGTTCTTCAACATGTCTTCATCAGACCCTCAAAGTTTCAGAATTTTTGAAGCAGTTAACAAGGCATGACAACATTTTAAGTTTCAAGACTTATGGCATCCCGGAAGTGTGTGTTACTCTTTTTTTGGTAACACCCGAGTTCACTATTTCGGCTGCTGACTCGTCTACGGAGCTTTGATTGGTCTGAAAATCGGTCTGGCAGTCCTTTGCCGCGTTTTGCAGGTGGTCATTAAGTTTCAGAACGATCAAAAATCGCAGCAGCGCGTGACAGCTGTCGAAAGTCACTGTTTCGTAGTCATGGTGCACTGTTGGCAGCATTTCCCTTGCCACCCTTTCATTGTTGTCATGCCAATGGTGCAGGGACAGAGAATGAGACAAGAAGTACAGGTGGTCAAGTGGGACTCTACCACCCTCCTTTTGAGAAGTGTGGTCTTCCTGGAAGCAGCTTGCAAGAGGGTGCAAGTGGGAAGACAAGCTGACTCATGGTTGGCTTGACTCACTATTGGTAGCCTTGAGTACAGCTCTGAACATCCAAGTGTGGTACTCGCATTGTCGTCGTTGTTTATGCCGTTGTTCGTCACGTTGTCGTCATCGTCGATGTATTTGTCGTCGTCGTCATCGTTGTCGTCGTCGTCGTTGTTGTTGTCGTCGTCGTCGTCGTCGTAATAGTCGTTGTTGTTGTCGTTGGCGTCGTTGTTGCCGTCGCTGTCGTCGTGGTCGTTACGGTTGTGGTTGTCGTTGTCGTCGGTGGCGGCATCGTCGTTGTTGTTGTCGTTGTTGTTGTGGTCGTCGACGTCGCCGTCGTCGTCGCTGTCAACGGGAGTAGAGTTTGGCCCCGTCCTCGCTTGGGCGGAGCTGACTCGCGTGGTCGGGTGTGCGGGGGTTGCAGCCGACCTGCAGCAGTGGGCGAGCTGGTCGACGGAGATCGGGGGGGTTGCACGGGGGCCACTGCGAGGGCGCCGACTTTGGGAGGTCGACTTGGGCGGTTGACCTGTGGTAGGCGTCGACCCGGTGACGCCGACCTAGAGGAGCCGACGTGGGTGGTCGGTTGACAGCTGCGCTGGTCGACTTGGGTCTGGTCCACCAGGACAGTGGTCGACCTAGAGCTGGTCGACCAGGGATGTCGTCGACCTGGTGTGATCGACGGGAGGTGGTCGTGACCTGGGTGGTTGACGGGCACATGGAGGAGCTGGTCGACGAGATGGTTTCCCTGTCGACCAGGTTACCCGGGTGACGGAGCTTCTGCGGAGGTATGCGATGGTCGCTGGGGGTAGCTTCTGCAAGACCGACCTCGGGGGTGGTATCCTGAGGTCGACGTGGCTGGCGTGCGCAGTTGCTGGCGTGGACTTTGCCAGGCGTCTACTGTGAGGATCTGGTTCAGGAAAGATGATTCTATTGAATGATTCACCTGGGTACAAGGCGAGGCTATATATAGGCTCGACACAAAGGTAGTAACCCGGGTGTTACTAGAAGGTTCCGCGGGTCGCGAAGCGTCCCGAACGGGTCCTTCCCGAATTCGGTAGAAGGCAATTCGGTGGCAACCGAAAAGCCTAAAATTCGGTGCACTCAACCTAGTTCGGTGCCTACAACTATAATAACTATAGTAAAGGCAACGAATCTAGGAAATCAAGCAAAAGCATGCAAGATAAAATAAAGCTAAGCTAGTAATAACATAATAAAGTCCAGGCAAGCTAGCAAAGCCAGCATAAGTCGTCGTACTCTCACACGTCCCCCCCTCAAAGCTGGGTGGCGTGAGAAACACCCTGCTTGACAAGATAGTCCTTGAGAGCACGGCGTGCGTTGCCCATATCAGCTTCTGCAACCCAACTGTCCTCCGATGGGTCATATCCCTTCCAGCGTATCAGGAACTCGAGCGTGTTGCCGCGTCTGCGTCGATGAGCGAGAACTTTTTCCACCTCGTACTCTGGTTCATCCTGTATGAGAACAGGTGATGGTGGCGGTAGCTGGCGTCCCTGGAACTGTTGGTTGGGGTCCTTGTAGGGCTTTTGTAGCTGAACATGGAAAGCGTTGTGAAGCTTCCACGTAGAAGGTAAGCGCAAGCGGAATGTTACTGGTGTCACCTGTGCCTCAATGCGAAAAGGACCACAGAAGCGAGGCCGGAGTTTGGACGGTAGGTGAGACAGGTTCAAGTTGTGCGTGTCAAGAAGCACCTGATCTCCGACTGCTACTGAGTGATCACGTCGCTGGCGATCGGCATACTGCTTCTGGGAGTTCTGCATCGTGGAAAGACGTCGCTGAGTCTTCTCCCATAACTGCCGCATGGTGGTGACGAAGTCGTGTGCGGCTTGGACGTGTGCCGGTGTGGTTGGCTGTTGTGGTGTAAGTGATTCCTGTCCGTAGCACAGGAAGAATGGAGATTTCCCTGTGGCCGCATGCGACGCGTTATTGTAAGCGAACTCAAGTGTCGGTAACTGTGAATCCCAGTGGCTGACGTCGTCTTTGCAAGCTGTGTGCAGTAACTGTTCAACCACCTGATTGAGTCGCTCTGTCTGTCCGTCAGTCTGGGGGTGGTACGCTGAAGACATTGCAAGCTTTGTCCCCAACAATCCCATGAGTTCCCTCCAGAACTTACTAGTGAACTTAGGGTCTCTGTCCGAGATAAGTGTAGCGGGGATGCCGTGGATGGTGATGATGCGGTCGAAGAAGAGGCGAGTAGTTGCTTCAGCAGTAGCCGTGGCATTGGTCGGGATGAAGTGTCCCATTTTAGAGAACTTATCGATCACCACGAGTATAGCGTCATGCCCTCGTGAGGTCGAAGAAAGCCCAGTAATGAAGTCTAGGCTGACAACTTGCCATGGCTGCTCCGGGACGGGTAGAGGCTGAAGTAACCCTGATTTTTTCTGCTTGCTACTCTTCATCTGCTGGCACGTGTCGCATGAAGTGACGAACTGCTGCACGTCTGTTGCCATCCGGGGCCAGTAATAATACTTTGCTATTCCCGCTAACGTCTTGTTGCTCCCGAAATGTCCCGCGTATGCCACATCGTGAAATTCCTCCAGTAAGATCTGTCGGAGCGGGGCATAGTTCGGTACCCAAATCTTTCCTGATCCCTTTCTTACAGCTAGGTCCTTCTCCCACTGTAACAGCTTCTGTTTCTCTGCTGTAGTGATTTCTGCGTCCACGGAGTATCCATGCTGGAATAGACCCTTGAGCAGAGGGTTCATCCCGTCGAGTTGGATGCCTGCTACATGACCGGGGCAGCTCAACGCGTCAGCTTTGTTGTGTAGCCCGGGCTTGTAGACGATGTCGTAGTGGAAGTGGGTCTCCAAGAAGTCTACCCACCGCACCTGTCGTCGTGAGAGCGTCGGCTGCGACTTCAGGTATTTGAGGCTGCAGTGGTCAGTGGAAACTGTAGTCTTGGCTCCCTCTAGGTAACACCTCCACGCCTTGAAGGCTGTGTCATCGCTAAGGCTTCCTTGTCATGGATAGGGTAGTTCAGTTCTGCTCCGTGTAGCTTCTTACTCAGATAGGCGATGGGCTGCAAACCGCGTCCGTGATTCTGCATCAGTACTGCTCCGACTGCTTGGTCACTAGCGTCTGCTTCCACCACGTAGTCTCTGTCTGGATTCGGTAGGATGAGTACTGGCGCTGTAGTCAGTGCTGTCTGTAGTTGCTCCATGGCTTGCTGATGAGGAGTATTCCCAGTATCCGTCCACCTTTGCAGCTTCACACGTTTCCCGTCGTTGTAGATACACGCCTTCCAGTTGACCCAGACGACCTCGGGGTCGAACCGCTTCAGATAATCACGCCCCAAGATTAAATCTAATCCTTCGATGTTCGTGATCGGCAACGTCGGCTTCCGCCTTTTCGCTCCTATCTGCAGCTGCAGTGTTGACTCGCCGTGGATGGGAAGCTTCGTACCGTCCACCATCGTTGCTGTAAACTGGGTCTCTTCTGAGGATTCTTCAATTTTCTCCAACGTCCCGCAGTCGCACACCGAGTGGGACGCACCACTGTCCACCAGTGTCTGGAGGCGTCGCCCGTTGCAGATCACCTCGAGTATAAGTGGCTGTTGCTGCTCCGAGTAGCCGTAGATGGTATCGCTTATAGGATCGTAGGGTACGTCGAATATGTCATCCCTAGGTCCTGCGCTCGAAGATGCAGCTTCAATATCAGGTATCACCTGAGTAGGGTTAGAAGGATTTATCCGAGGCTGGTACAGCTTCTCTTGAGCCTGGAACCTTCCCCTAGGCCTTTGCAGCTGTGTAGGCTTCATCTGTGGGGAACAGGGAGCCTTTAAACAGAGCTGCTGGGAGAGAATATTAACTCCTTGGAACGCACGACCCTTTTAGCCCTCCGGAGTAGGGTCCCCATATTACCCGGTACCGGTTTAATTTCTGACTCTCCCTTAATAAAGGCTTGAAACCCACGAGAAGTAATATTCTTACTTGTCGGGGTGTACGGCTGGAGTTTCCCAGTCGGTGCAGGGTCTTGTTTCGCGGAGTCTCCATTTGTCTCGGCGATTTCCCCTGGTGCCGGCTGGTCGTGACGTTTTAAACTCGCGCCATCATATTCTCCTTTTTTCGCCCTCTCCGAAGTTGCCACGTTGTCCGTTTTCTGCTTCGGGGGTGCCGCACTGTTCTTGTATCTCAGCTCCGCACGCCTTCCCTTCATTTCCCAACACGCCAAGATACGATGTCCTGTAGCGCCGCAAAATTTGTACGTCTCAGTTTTTGCTAGCCGCTGCTCCACATCGCCCTCGTCGTTCTCCATCGGTTCAGCAGTCGTGGGTGGTGCCAATCGCCCCATGCCACTAGTTGGCTTGTTGCGTCGTGTTCCGTAGTAGCTACTGTTCAACGTGTCGAACTGTTCGATCAGTGCTGCCCGAAACTGCGCCCACGTCCCTTCGCCTTGGACTATTCTGTTGTTGATCCACTCTAGAGCTGGGCCTTGTAACAGTGTTGCTGCGAGCCGTATGCGCATTGCGTCTTCTGTCGGGGTCGTGCATCCAACGGCTTCGAAGTAAATTTCGAGTTCAGCTACAAATCGACGAACGTCGTTCCCTTTAACTATAGGATCGGAAGCCTCCGGTAGCCTCAGCTTCACTGCTTCGAGGTTAACTGTAGCTGCTGCCGTTGTCGCAGGTAGAATTGTCGGTGTCGCCGCCGCTGCTGCTGCTGCTGCTGCTGCTGTCGCTGCTGCTGTGGCGGTTGCCGACTGGTTCGCAAGGAGTTTCTCGAGTCGTGGGAGCGTCGCACATATCTGCTTATGCTCGGCACGTAACTCCGCGATTTTCTGTACTGAAATATCTCTTTTTCCCTCCATTTGGCGATTTACAGAAAGAAGCGCGACGAAAATAATTGAATTTTGGGTGCTGGTCGACTTACTACGAACAAGCTCGACTGTAAAAATAATGAGCGCTGGGTCCGTACGCCACGTAATTCTCCCTTATCAGTAATTCGCGTCTGATCTCAGCCGTTAAGAAGAGAATCGATCTGACGCTCCAAACTCCAACTGTTTTGGGCGAAATTCTCAGGGCCGTTGAGATTCGAATCGATCGGACGGTCGAAATTCCAACTTTTTCGCCAATGAACCTGAGGAGGATTCGAAAACCGGTTCGAGGGGGACGATAGAAAACAGCGCGATAGTGGTTTACGCACCCGAAATCGGCGCTTCCCGTCGTCGCCCCCGCGGTTTTAAAAGCTAGGTTTTAGCGGTCGAAAAACTTCGCGTGTAAACAGGCTCTGATTACCAAGTGTGAGGACCTGGATCAGGAAATATGATTCTATTGAATGATTCACCTGGGTACAAGGCGAGGCTATATATAGGCTCGACACAAAGACAGTAACCCGGGTGTTACTAGAAGGTTCCGCGGGTCGCGAAGCGTCCTGAACGGGTCCTTCCTGAATTCGGTAGAAGGCAATTCGGTGGCAACCGAAAAGCCTAGAATTCGGTGCACTCAACCTAGTTCGGTGCCTACAACTATAATAACTATAGTAAAGGCAACGAATCTAGGACAAAAGCATGCAAGATAAAATAAAGCTAAGCTAGTAATAACATAATAAAGTCCAGGCAAGCTAGCAAAGCCAGCATAAGCCGTCGTACTCTCACATCTACGCTATGCTCGTGACAGGGCGTGGAGCACCAGTCAGTCGCGTGCACCTGCGAAGCGGGTGCACCGTTGACCTGAGAGTGCAACACCGTGCAGCCGACTTGCTGCAGCGTTGGCACACCGTGGACGCGCAACGTTGGCGAGACGCATCCGTGCACTGCTGGAGCACGGTCGACCAAGTCGTGCTGGCACGCGGTCGGCCGTGCAGCGTTGGCAGTTGACCAGTAGTTGTGCTAGCTCTGATGTAGTCTGTCATGCCAATGTTTTTGTGATCATTCTGGATCTTTGTTGTGAACTTGTGCTAGTGGAACTCTTGCCAATTTTCCCCGTGAATGCGCAAGTAGTGTGAACACAGGCAAACGACTAAGGAACGAACGCAGAGATCACCCTTGCCCTGTGCCTAGCCCGTAGTCTAGCTCCCGTTGACAGAGTTATCTCCGCATGGTGCGGTGAGCGTGGAAGGCACCGCGACGTAGCGTTCAGTCTAGTCGACTTTGTAGCCCACTACCAACGTTGTTCGTAGGCCAGCAACTGTGTAGTCACCCTTGTAGGTGTAGGTGACGCCGAGGTGATGGACACCCTGGAGGCACAGCTGGAGGACGCGAGGAGACGCCATGAGGCGCGCGAGTACGGGGAAATCCCATGGACAGTCGTCGAGGCTGGCATCCACGCCGCGTGGGCGGCGGAGCACCCTTCCGACCAGCCTCTCCTCGACCGGTGATCAATGAGGGCCCACGTCGATGCCGGGGACCAGGTCAGCAGCAGTGCAGGAGGCATGTTGTCAAGGCAGAGAGGAGTGATACACGCCGGTGAAGCCGGCGGCGTTCAGGCGCGAGGGATGCAGTCGTCGGCGGCTGCGGGCACCCCGCGGGGCGACGTCGGAGGACGTCGAAGCAGCGTGATGCCGGTTTTGGTGACCCATGTGACGGCAGGCGGGATAGCGCCGACCTACGGCTACTTCAAGTTTACGCCGGACAGGATCTCTATCACCCCTATGCTGGTCGGTCGACCCGACATCCTCACCTGGAAGGAAGCCATCGAGCCCCAGCTGGAGATGGCTGGGCTGATGGGCTTCACCGCCGGCACCGTGGCGACCCCGTCGGAGAACTACCCCGACCTGCGTGCGGAGTTTCGCGTTGTGCAGC